GTTTTTGTTTCATTTTATAAAGCAGTTTCTTTTCTTTCTTTTAAATTTTGGCTGTGCTGAGTCTTCCTGCGGCGTGTGGGCTTTCTCTACTTGTGGCACTTGGGCTCAGAAGTTGTGGCATGGGCTTAGTTGCCCCTCCGCACACGGGATCCTCGTTCCCCGACCAGGGATGGCACCTGAGACCCCTGCGTTGGAAGGTGGATTCCTAACTGCTGGGCCAACAGAAAAGGCCCTAATGCAGGGTTGATCATCCTATATTATAAAGTTGTCAAGGGCAGGAGTGCTGCCTGGATCAAGGAAACTTCCACCACTCCTGGCAGCCCCCAAAAGCAGCTGTCAGTGTTGGGGGGGCCTGGATCCCAAGGTCTGAGATTCCCTTCAGCTCAGAGCTTCTGAATTCCAGCCCAGGTGCTGTTTGCCCTGTTCTCCCAAACCCTGGTGGGTGGGTGTTTCTGGACTAGTATAGCATCACTTTCTCAGTCTCTTGCATGAGTGCTCACTCAGTCGTGTCCAGCTCTTTGTGACCCCATGTATCGCAGCCCACCGGGCTCCTCTGTCCATGGGATTTCCCAGGCAAGAAAACTGGAGTGAGTTGCCATTTTCTTCTCCAGAGGTTCTTCCCAACCCAGGGATCAAACCCAGGTCTTCTGCACTGTCAGGCAGATGCTTTACTACTGAACCACCTGCCTCTTAAACCCTGACAGGCTAGATGGTGGCAGGGGTGGGGGACAGTCCATTCCATGTGATGAACCACTCCCAAGCAGTGGTAAGCCAGCCCCACAGATCTGGAAAGCTGGGAGTGAAGAGATGGACTGTCAAAACTTCCTTCAGGGCCATTCCTGAACATTCCAGTCTTGCCATCCCGAAGATTCAAATTCATAGGATGAGTCTCTGAAGCTTGGAGCTTGTCTCCCATTTGTTGAAGACAAGGGTCACTCACCCCCTCCCAGTGTTTGGTAGAGAGGCTCAGAACACCCTCTCCCCATGCCTTTAGATGAAATGACCTAACTCTCCCTGCTCCCCACCTCCCAGCCCAGGTCTGGAACATCTCTAAGGTCTGTTACATCTCTAAGGTCTGTTACTGTTGAGTTGGTAAGTCGATAAAGTTGTGTCCAACTCTTTCTGAACCCATGGACTATAGCCCGTCAGGCTCCTCTGTCCATGGAATTCTCCAGACAGGAATACTGGAGTGGATTGCTGTTCCCTTCTTCAAGGGATCTTCCCAACCCAGGGATCAAACCTGGGTCTCCTGCGTCGGCAGGCAGATTCTTTACCACTGAGCCAGCAGGGAAGCCCACCATTTAACATATCTCTTAGCATCACCCAATGAGTGAGCAAACGGCCTCTGTGTGTGGTTTTGCCGGATGAGAACAGCAGCCCCCTAGGGTTGTGCAGGGAGCACCCTGCACATCCTCGGCCACAGCCCCGTCCTTAGGAGACCAGGAACCCCTGTGTTCCAGCCGCTGGCTCGAGAGCTGCCCTCCTCCTGTCTTCCTGCAGCCGGAGGCCTCGTGCCACAGAGACCTGAGAAGTGCAGTGGCCAGTCCTGTCGGCTCCCCAGGCACAGCTGGTCCAGGGTGGGTCCGGGCACACGGGGCGTGGCCTGAGCAAGCTGGCTGCCCGCCCCTCCCTGCAGGGCAGCCCTCCAGAGCGACTACCACGCAGGATGGGGCTTTCCTCCGGCGCCGCGACCACAGAAGCCACAGCCTCCCAGCTCCCCACACAGCCCAGAGGGCCTGACTCACCCCTGTTCCTTCTAGAACTTGCACAGGGTCAGTTCCTCTCACCTTCTGTGGCAGGAAACGGAGGTGTAAGGAGTCATGGCCAAGCCAGGGGAGGAGGCCGCCAGGGGTAGCAGCCGGGCACTGGGTGCCTCTGCCGAGGGATGCGGCTGGTTTGAGAAGCTGCCCAAGAAACCCGAAACCCCAGGGATGTCGGCAATGGGACCCGGAAGGCGCACCCCCGCCCCAAGCTCCATCGAGAGAGCAGACTGCTGGGAGAGCTGAGCAAGGCCTCCCTGGGTGCAGGGGGATTTCTTTCTGCCACCTTGCCCTGATCTTGTGACGAGTTTCAATTCCTTCCCTGCCACAGGTTTCCTTCCTGCAGTGCTCTGTGGGGAAGGTCCCCTTGCCTCTGTGCCAGCCACACACCAGTTCACCCATGACCCTTTCCTTGGTGCTGGCGCACACATGCACACATGTGCAAGTTTTCATGCACACGTACATGCGCACACACACCCCTTCCCAGGGTCGTGATACTACGTGACCACGATACTACATGATTTTCCAGCCAGCCCAGCTCCCTGGGGGCAGAGGCCACAGACAGGCGAGCACCTGCTCTCTCCTCACTCCCTCCCTCCCATCCTAGTGGAAAGCAGCCCCCCACCATCCCCCAACCCCCATCAGTAGGGTCTTCATCTCAGGCCACTGCCCCCCACCCCAAGAGAAGCCCTGAAACACCTGTTTTCTAGCCCTCAAAGGCCCAATTTGAATGCGCATAGAGCCAGATAAGACTTGAGGGAACCCGTGGTGTCCCTTTTCCTGAAGTGTGTGTGTTAGTTACTCAGTCATGTCCAACTCTTTGCAAACCTGTGGACTGTAGGCCACCAGGCTCCTCTGTCCATGGGATTCTCCAGGCAAGAATACTGGAGTGGGTTGCCATTCCCTTCTCCAAGGGATCTTCCTGAACCAGGGATTAAATCCAGGTCTCCTGCATTGGCACGCGGATTCTTCACCATCTAAGCCACCAGGGAAGCCCTCCTTTCCCCCATCCATTCCCCTAAAAGCCTTTTCACCAGTCTGGTCCTATGACCCCATTATTCCATCTGTGCTTTGAGAATAAAAACAGTCTTCTCCCCTTGTGGGGCTAGTAGCTCAGTCGGTAAAGACTCCACCCACAATGTAGGAGACCCTGGTTTGATTCCTGCATCAGGCAGAACCACTGGAGAAGTGATAGGCTACCCACTCCAGTTTTCTTGGGCTTCCCTTGTGGCTCAGCTGGCAAAGAATCCTCCTGCAATGCAGGAGACCTGGGTTCGATCCCTGGGTTGGGAACATCCTATGGAGAAGGGAAAGGCTACCCACTCCAGTATTCTGGCCTGGAGAATTCCAGTGTTCTGTGTTGCAGAGAGTCAGATAAGCTGAGCAACTTTCACTTTCACTTTTCTTCCCTTGAGAGGATTAAGTGAGTATGTGTGGAGTTCCTGGAGCCGAGCCCAGCACACAGAAACACTGTGTTGGTGTCTTGTTGTTATTTTTTATTATTTTTTACTTGGCTTCCCCAGGTCTTAGTTTCAACATGTGGGATCTTAGTTTCCCGACCAGGGATGGAACCCAGGCCCCCGGCATTGAGAGCGCCAAGTCTTAGCTACGGGACCATCACAGAAGTCCCCATGTTATTGGTATTATTTCCAAATCATTGTTTTATTTGGATTAAAAATTGTCCTCTCCTTGAGAACATCTTTGAAATGCCAACAGCTGGTGGAGGGCAGGCGGCAGAGAGAGGGGACTTGCTTTCTTCATTGCTGAAAATGGAGGTGGATGCAGTCGAAGGGCCACAGGTGGGTGAAGGGGCGGCTCAGGGAGGATTGCTAGGCTGCCAGCCCCCCACCTCATCTTCCTGGTGTGTTAAAGGTCTCCATCGGTTCAGGCTGTATCAGCCACTGTCTAGACCCTGCTCCAGGCAGGGTCTACCCGCAATAATTCCTCTAGCCGGGAAAGGCTGCTAGATTGGGGGCGGTTGGGGGGGAGAAGGTGGGGTGGGGATAAATAAATATTAGGTAGGCCAGAAAAGTTCGTTCAGGTTTTCTGTATGAGCATATGAAAAAAACAGAACGAACTTTTCGGGCAACCCAATAAATACATTAAATAGGTAAGTAAATGTGTGCTCAGTCACGTCCAACTCTCTGCGACTATATGGACTATAGCCCACCAGGCTCCTCTGTCCTTATAGGGTGCTCAATTCAGTTTGAGTTTCAGATAAACAAGGAATAATTTGTTAGTATAAGTCTGGGCCATGCAATATGTGGGACGCACTTGCACTAACAGAGGATTCGTTGTTCCTCTGAAATTCAAATAGAACTGGGCAACCTGTGTTTTATCTGGCAATCATCCACCAAGGGTGCCGGAGGCCCAGGGTTTGGGAAACAAGAGCGTGGGAATATGCCGCTGACCACTTCCCTAAGCCCCTCCCCTGTGCCCGGGGCCTGCCCTCCTTGCCCTGCTGCTAGGCCTGTTCACACTTGCTCTAAAAGATGCACCTCCTTCCCCCCACGGCCCTGTGTTCTCTCCCCCTGGGGAAGGCCCCCTCTGACCTGGGCACCCACTGGACTTCCCCAGGGTCCAGGCTGGAACGTCTTGTCCACTCTCCACTCCCCCTGAGGATCTAGGTCCTCAGAGCAAGGAGAAGCAGCCTGGCCACGTGCCCCGCCTTTTATCTGTGTCACCACCGGGGAAGGAGCCCTGTCGCACGAGGTCTCTTGGGACTGGGGAGGAGGTGGCCGGGCTGGCTTCTGGAGAAGAGATTGGAAGAAATGGCATAGACACTTCTGCCAATCCTAGCCTTGGCAATGGGGGTGACCAGGTATGAAGAAAAGCGGCCTTCAGACCACAGTCACAAGGTCAGGGGAACTTGCAGGAAAAGATGGGTGGGAGGCAGAAGTGGGCAGCCCACCTGACCAGGTATTTCCTCTCTGCACACGAATGAGAAGGCAGAGTTGTGCCAAATAAAGGCCTGGAGAAAGAGATTAAAGGCCGTCCTTGACTCAGTCCAGACTCTTGGTCCCCACTGTCCTCTGAGAAGTATCCTTTCCAGATGCTGCTAACTTCCAGGACTTCCCCTGCAGCCAGGATCCAGCAGACACCTACTGCCCTCAGACCAAGGGCCAGGGTCACCACCTGCCATCTCTATTCCCCAGAGCCGGCCTCCCTCTCGGGCTCCTGCTAGTTCTCAAGTCCACAGTTCTGTCTCGTCACCTCCCTGTGGTCTGTTTGTCCTTCCAGGCTCTTGGAAAATGGACAAATTTCTGAGCCACTTCCACCTGAGCGAACCTGAAGCCAGCACCCAGTTCATGACCCAATATTACCTGGATGCACTAAGTCGCCAGAACCCGGGAGTAGTAAGCAATGAGACCACGGACAAACCTGAACCGAAATAACTGCCTGCCAGACCTCAAGCTCCACACTGTCGGTGTGTCCACAGTGCGCGCCACCCATGGTCTGCGTATGGACTCCCCCTCTCCGGGTATGGAACCCCCTTTCTCTTCCACATTAAAAAAAAATCATCTAGGGCTTAATGGTTGGATGTTTTGTTTCCAAACCTGTCCTCCTTCCAAAACCAAGAGGTGGAAATCCATCGATGTCCAGCACTGGGGCTGGGGGCACTCCTGTAAAATACAGGTGGTTGGTGGTGAGTGGGGTGGGATGGAGCGACAGGCAGGAGGTGGGGGTCTCTAGCCCTGAGGCGTCATTGAGGCACCATGTGACCTTGAGCAAGCCACTTGCCCTCCGTAAAATTTCGCTTCCTCAGTTATGAAACCAAAGGAGGAATAAGGGGCAAGGGCTGGTTGGTTTATCCCCATGGCCCCTCCCAGTTCTGAGCATTCATTTAACAGACACTGTCGGCACATTGTATGTGCCTGACCTCAGGCCAAAGTGCTGGGGATTCACATGTGACAAATGCAGGCCCAACATGAGACTTGTTTCATGGAGCTTCCAGTTCAGGACGGGAGGGCAAACTTCATCAGATGACCACAGGCAAATTCCAGCAAATGTGGCAAGCGCTATGAGCGGGTAGAGGGGACCTGATTTGTGATGGGGAGTGGGGGGTGGTCAAGGCTTGGGAATGCCTCTGTTTCCTGAGGAAGTCATGTTTCAATTCATGGCTGAGAAGTGGGATAAGGGTTAACTCTGAGCAGAGACAGGGACAGAGAGGAGACATGACACCTCTCAGCTCCCATGGCTGATAGGGCAATGAAAAGCCAAAACCATGGCCCCCTGGACAGATGGACAAAGACCAGAACAGGTCAGGCCTTGCAGTCATGTTCACATTTTGGATTGTACCCTGGAAGTGATGGGCAATCGCGAAATGACAGATAGATTGGAGGGGAGAAAGCACATGATCTGATGTCTGCTTTTAGAAAGCTGTGAAGAAACTCGTTGGTCTGCACAGGAAGGATTTTCAGCCCCTGGATATCCTCTGAAAGTCTCTTGGCTTTCCCACCCCCAAAATCCCCTGGAGGCACCTCTGTGCCAAGGTCTCATTCACGGGCTAAACCCTGGTTCAACTCCCCCAACCCAACCTCCAACCCCCCACCCTCTCAACAAGACCCTCTGTTCAGTTTCCCTCCCAAGAGTTAATTACCCCCCCTCCTTGGCTAGAATACAGCAAGATGGGTGACTCATGCATGCAAAGTGCCTGAGATCCCCAGATGAAAGGGGCAGGCTGCAGCCGGGCCCAGGGTTATTACCTCCCTAAAGCCATGCCCTGCATTAGCTGGAAGGCAAGGGGGCCCCGGCCAGCCCCTGGGCCCAGCACACTCTTGACTAGTGGGAAGATTTCAGTGATTGCTGCTGTTGCTTGGTCTCTCAGTCGTGTCTGGCTCTTTGTGGCCCCAGAGACTGCAGCACACCAGGCTTCCCTGTCCTTCAGTATCTCCTAGAGTTTGCTCAGACTCATGTCCATTGAGTTAGTGATGCCATCCAACCATCTCATCCTCTGTTGCCCCCTTCTCCTCCTTCTCTCAAGCTTTCCCAGCATCAGGGTCTTTTCCATGGGGATCTTCCCGCCCCACCTCTTTTCTCTTCCTCTGGTGTTCTGGGCTTTTAGTTCAGCTGCTGGAGAGACCCCCACCTTCCTGGCCCCAAAACTTGAAAAAAGAACAAAACTAGCCCAGGCACTAGGCTGAAGCCAGCCTTGCCAGACGTCCCTGAAAGCCACAGAGAAAGAGCTCCCAGGGGTCGGCAGGGAAAGTCTGGAGGCCAGGAGACCTTGGGGAAGCCCATCTGACTCAGCTCTCCACCTGCAGAAGGCTTTGGGCCTCTTGCCCCTTTTCTTTTCACTGCCGCCTCCAGGAAGAAACAAAATGAGTATGGAGATTGCTTCGAAACTGCCAGCAAAGCATTTTTTAAAAATGTAAGGGAGTACCGCATGCGTGTTCAATTGTATCCGACTCTTTGTGACCCTATGGACTATAGCCCACCAGGCTCCTCTGTCCATGGGATTTCCCAGGCAAGAATACTGGTGTGTGCCATTTCCTCCTCCAGGGGATCTTCCCGATTCAGGGATTGAACCTGTGGCTCCTGTACCTCCTGCATTCACAGGAGGATTCTTTTACCAATGAGCTACCTGGGAAGCCCCAAGGGGAGTATTGGTGACCCCTTTACAGCAGGAGAACTGATGTTATCACCATCATCATCAGATATCATTTGTTGAGTGCTGTCTGCATGCCAGGCACCATGCCAGATGCCTGACATGCAACATCTCCTTTAATGCATTCATTCCTGCCTGGCTTCCCAGCCTACCAGGCCTTCATACATAGGTGTTGGCAATTGTCATCTTACAGATGAGGAAACTGACATTCCGGTAAGTTAAGGGACCTCCTCCCTGTTCTGTAACTAGTAATGGTAGAATCTGCTGTTAACTCAGGCCTTCCCACTCTCAGTACTCACAGGTAACGTCCATGCATGCTAAGTCACTTCAGTCGTGTCCGACTCTTTATGACCCTATGGACCGTCGCTCGCCAGGCTGCTCTGTCCGTGGGGATTCTCCAGGCAGGAATACTGAAGTGGGTTGCCATGCCCTCCTCGAGGGGATCGTTTCCACCCAGGGAGCGAATCCGTGTCTCTTATGTCTAATCTGCACGGAGGCGGGTTCTTTACCATCAGCACCACCCGGAAAGCCCACTCTCAGAGTGCTCTCCTTTTACCCTCCAGGCTACATAACATAAAGGCCAGATCTTCTATCTATCCCGAAGCTGGGTAGGCCAAGAAGGAAGGGTAGAAGTTCTAAAAGAACCTAAAGGAAGCCTTCCCTTCCCCTAGCCTCAAGTTATTCTAGACTAAGTATGATTTGTGGGGAGGGTCAGCTCCCTGACACTGACAGCAATGGCCTGGCCCAGCTCAAGGCCGTTTCCACCCCCCTCAACCTGCACAAGGCAAATACCCCAACAGTTCACTGCCCTCAGTCCTCTGCATCACCCCTCTGCTTCCTGGAATTTTGTTTGTGTAAGAATTGCTAAAAGAGAGATGGAAAAGGACATAGAGGAAGAATTCCTAATGAGAAGATGATAATGATAATGTTGATGGTGAAGATGGCGGTGATAGGGGTTGATGGTGATGCGTTCAGATGTTAGTGCCAAGTACCTGTGGGATAAGAAGAAAGCCAGCTAGATGCATGAGGTGGTGTCATTTAAAAAGCACAAGTTTTCTTAGCACATCTAAGTTCGCAGAGTCTCTACCACTTGATAGCTCTTTGATCTCAGGGAACTTACTCAACTGTTCCAGACCTGTGTTTCAACTGCAAAAGGAAAACAGTATAGTGAGAAAAAATGGAACTCCACGTGCCTTCCTTAAAGACCTGTTGCAATGGTTAGATGATTCGGCACGGAAGGCGCCCGGCACAGCACCTGATGCGCAGGCTGCTCAGTAAACGCGTGCTCCCCTCTCCTTCTCTGCCTGCACCTCACCTGCTCTGCTCCCCAGCTCACTGGAGCAGGCATTCAGGCTAAGGGTAATGGGAGGGCTCACCCTCTCCAGATGAGTCTTGCCCAAGAGACCCATCAGAGTGTCGGCAGCCCCAGGGAGAGGGCCAACTGCCAAGGGAATCTTAAGCCCAGCCCAGCATCCCCCTCCCAAGCTTAGCAAAACACTGGGAGGCTTGGATCAGGAAAGACAACCCAGTTCCTTAGCAACTAACAAGCATTTCCCTGTAAAGACAAAGACCCTTCACTCAGAATGCTCCCTCCCCCCACCTCTCCAGGTATCTGATCTGTTTGCAGGAGTGGGGCTAGAAGCCCATCCACCCCCACCCCAGGTCTAGAGGCCTTTAGCCCCACCCTCCCAGCTGTCCTAATATTACCTGCAATTATCCCACTGCATCTTTCATCCTGGCACTAATTAACTTTCCCATTTTCCCCAGGAGCTGCTGGGAGACACATGACATGCGCATACATACACACACACACACACACACTTGCATGCACACACATACACAAATATCTATAGTTCCCCTGCAGAGACCCTCACTCCATCTTAGAGATCTGGAAGCTAAGGTTCAAGAAAGGAGAAAATTCCCTGAGGTTCTCATCTGCCCCCTGGGTACTTGGAAGGAGAAACAGAAGCTGAAGCGTCTGGCTCAGGAAGAGGGGAGGACAGAGTCCCCGACAATCCCGGGGGATGAAGGACCAGGAAGGAGAAAAATCCTTGGAGAGGAGAGATGGAAGCTATGCCAAGACTGAGGACTTAGCTCTGAGTACCACCTTAGTGCCACCAAATGCAAGCCATCCCACTTAACACAGAGAGGGCATTTCAAAGAATAAAAAGGAACTATTTCAGTCAAATAGGGGAGGAAGACAGAGTCAAAAAGAGATGGGAATAGGAAAGAAAGGCATCGTCATCTGGTCTGATGAACCAGACCAGGTTCATCTGAAAGAATCACTGATCAGAACTCAAGACCTGATTTTACCACCAGGGCTACCCTTCACTGCTGTGTGTCCCTGGGCATGTCAGCTGCCCTCTCTGGGCCTCAGCTTCCTCATCCATAAAATAGTTTTGTATGAGTGTTCTCTGAGACCCCCCTCCAGCTGAATGTTCCTCAACTCTGTGGTTATTTGGGTGCATGGTAGAGAAAGCCACTACCACTATCCCTTTGGCAGGGTGGAGCAGGGGTGTCAGAGGAAGCCACTAAAACAGGAGCGAATGAGTATTCTTAGGATTAAGAATGAAAAAGAGCCCAATGCATTTGGCAGCAGGAGTCAGAAGACCCTATCAGGAGGTCAAGGAGAAGTCTGCAAATGTGGGGAGCTGCAGACCCTAGGATTTCAGGAGAACCCGCTCCCAGGCTCAGTGGCCAGCAGTAGAGCTTCCCCTCCCCAGATCCTGGCCTGGGGAAACCCTTCAGGCCCTAGAGGAGTGAAGAGGGAGAGACACAGGGGCCCTGGGTCTGCACCCGGGCACAGAAGGTAGAAATATGACTCGGGGGAACTGCCTGGTGGCCCAGTGGTTAGGACTCGGCACTCTCACTGCCAGGGCCCAGGTTCACTCCTGCATCGGGGACTGAACAAGATTCCACGAGCTG